GAAATTTTATGTATCGCTAACAGGCCAGTGAGGAAGATGCATTTCTGGCAGTGAATAGAGGCTGCCCAAGTCCATTTTCACATACACCTGCTCCAGTGTATCAGTTCTGGCTTTATTAATTTTATTTCAATACAGGTGGCTATGGAATATCATTTATATGTCAAAGAAGGAAAAACAAGAATGCAGAAAGTCTTCTGGCATCTCTGCTACTCTGGACAAGGCTCACCATGACATTGCCAGGTGTGGAATGATTAGGTGCTGTGGGTGGCAGGGGAGGGGGAAGGGGGCAATTTTGGACAAAGTGCAAGTCCATTTTGAGTTTCTCCCTTTCAAATTTGAGAGGTCTGTGATTTGGCTGCATTTGTGAAAGGGTGGGTATTATATCCTGATTTTCCTAGAGGGTTACAGGGTTACCTATTTCCTGTTCAAAGATCTCTGATACCTGGGACATTCTTATGCCTAGTTATTAGAAATTTAGTGGAAAACATGACTGTCTTAGAGTGCATCATACTCTGTGACATTGCACATTATCCTGGAGAAAGATGGCCTGCATTAGTATCTACCACATCAAATGCTACAAAGGGAAAGATTTTAGAGACATCTTTGTGAAGCTGTAGCTGTTTCCATCTTCAAAATAAACGAATGGTTTATAATACCATGTAGTTATTTTTAAAAATTGACAGTGTCTCAGGTATTTATCTTCATCTTTTCTCTCGAGGTCTCTATTGAAGTGACCATTTCAAAACACTTGCATGCTTCTGTTCGATCTTTATTTACACAGCAGAGGTGAAGGCAATGTGCTGTGTATATTGCCAGTTCATTTAGCATTTCTTCTCTCTCCAGATGCCCATTCGGAAACCTTTATGAAGAGCCCTGTCCCCACCCTGATCACCGTCCTCAGAAGTGTGCGATTCATAGTAAAGCAGGACAGAAAATTAAAAGATGGCAATTTAAGATGAGAGAACTCAAACACAATTTTGGAAATCCCATCGTTCATCTGATTATCTGCTTTGTAATTTATCCAGACGGCTTCGCTCTTTTCTCGTTTGTTGCCTGTGAGGTGGATATTGAAGACAGTCACAGAATCAACAGCCGTGTTTCCCAAATTTTAGAGCCGTCAAGAAAAATGTAGCAAAAGAAACAGATTAACATTTTTTTGTTTATGTAATCCTTATTTTTTTAGGATTACAACCATTGATAATCAAGAATTCTTTAGCCATATTTACAAAATGAAAATTTAAAAATTAAAAAAAAACCTATTCCTGGGCTTGCCTGGTACATTTCATATTTGAAATGAGATCTATTCACCTTCCATAGCTCATGAACTTGCCATTGATTACGTATAGAAATTTTCACTATGAACATTTTGCAAAACTTTTCTCATATTTACCAAGGAATTTATGATATGCATAGAAAACCATGACACAAAAATGCAGAGATGAGTCCCATTTTTTCACTTTAATAATAATAATTCTAACATACTGATAGCCTTCTATCTAAGTAGCAGATTTGCGCATTTATTTTTGACTGCCACTATCTCAATCTGGAGCTGCACGGTCTGATATTGTAACCATGTGGCTATTTAAATTAAAATTAAGTAAAATTAAAAATTGGTTCCTCAGTCTCAGTAGGCACATTTCAAGTGCTTAACCACCACATATGGCCAGTTGTACTATATCAGATAGTGCAGATGTAGAACATTTCCACCACTGCAGAAAGTTGGATCAGACACTGCTGCAATCTTCAGAGATGCCACAAGAAATAGACTAAACTGGGGAGACGACATGCAGCCTGCCACATTGTTTTAGCATCTGAACAAACGACCACTTTCATGTGCACGAAACCGGTGCTGAGAGCAGGATGTGGACTGAGAAACCTAAGCATGCGAAAACATCCGTCTGTCTCTAACTCTCACTTCTATTTTCTGATGTTTCCATAGGGTGCCTCTGATACTTCAAGAACATATGATGGCTCCTAATATGGTAAAGATAGGGTCAGCTAATCCAGAACAAGCAGAAGAGGAATCTGGGGACCTGGGGAGTGATCCCTAGACCAGCACCTTCACAGACTGAGAGGCTGGGGCATCCTGTGTGTAGGTTCAGAGCAGGGCCTCCTAAGTCCTTCAGAGTCACAGGCTCTCTCAAAAAACGGATAAAAGAAACCGACCCCGTATCCTTTGTAGGGACATGGATGAATCTGGAAACCATTATTCTCAGCAAACTGACACAGGAACAGAAAATCAAACACTGCATGTTCTCACTCATAGATGTGTTGAACAATGAGAACACATGGACACAGGGAGGAGAGCATCACACACTGGGGTCTGTAGGGGGGTGGCTAGGAGAGGGACAGCAGGGGGTGGGGAGAGTGGGGAGAGAGAACATGGGGAGAAAAGTCAGATATAGGTGATGGGGATGGAGGCAGCAAATCATCTTGCCATGTATATACATATGCAACAATCCTGCATGATCTGCACATGTACCCCAGAACCTAAAGTACAATTTAAGAAAAAAGAGAAAAGAAACAGAAACAGAAAGAGACCTGCTTATCACTTAGTTACGCACATCATTTCAGCTGCTCACGAATCCACTTGGAGTCCCTAGGGTGTCTGAGGAGAGTTGAGGGAGGGCCAATATCCTCTGAGGGCAGCACCGCTCCTCAGGAGCCCACAGTGAGGGATGAGCCACGACATCAAGATGAGAGGTTTGCGTGAGCAGACACCTGTGCTGTGCCCACACTCACAGAGGAATGCAGGGTCTTGACTTTTGCTATTTGTTTTTTTGTGGGGGACAGATGGCCCTGCTTCCTTCAACACTCAAGACTCCTTCCTTCGGAACGGCATCCTAAAACGCGTCCCTAGTCCCATTTAGCACGACTGTCTTCTCATCACATGCGCCAAGAAATAAATGTGAAATGACGGATAGATGGTTCACAAGCCAATGCTCAATAATCTTAACGTCTTACCTTCAATGTTATAGTAATACAATTAAAATGTAGCAGCAACTCTCTAAAAGAAGTCCACAGCTTCCAGAATGAAGATGTTGTTCTAAACTTATGCTATTGTACGACCGGTGACAGCAAATAAATTGTTTCTTCTTTTTATTACTTTTTAGCCCGCTGAACCAGTTCTATAATCAATCGTAACTTAAGAGAATTAATACACCCATAAAAAAGAAAAGCATTTTATATCCCTGCTGACTGTTGGTTTATCAAAGATAAAGAAAATAATTCATCTCATATTTTTATTTATAATTTATTTTCAAAATGAATTTTTTCTAGTTTTTTTATACTTCTAAAGGTCGCTCATAAAATTATTTGAATCACAATAAACCTATATAAATTATTTTCATTAATACAACTTATGTGTAGGTTATAATTACCTAAAACACCAAAAGACACTCACTTTTTATAAATAATTTATAACATATTATTCTGCTCAACAGGAATCACGTTTTAAAGAAATGCCACTGTGTTATCTTGTAGGAACCAGTACATAGACAGGCAAACACAAAATCCTTGCAGCCAATCAAATATAAATGAATCCAAAAATCTGAACAAAACTTTGGAAATACATAGTTATATTAAGATTAAAGTATAAAAGTTAGATATACTCGCTATAAATTTTTTCTCATCATATGTACATTTTCACTTAACAAATTCACACTCTAACACATTATCATAGAAAAGATATACAACGTTACTCACCTCTTCCCCAACCCAAAAAATTTTATAGCAAGGTTTCCTAATAAGATACCACCAAGTTCTTCTTGTAGTTTGGAATAATTCTAAGTTCAATAACTGAATACCAGATGACTGTTGAAGAGTCAGAAATGTTTGATAACGATATGCAAATATTTTAAAAGACATACTAGATATAATGCAAATAACCCTTTCAGTGTTTCCATACAGGTAGAAGCATTTAATTTTAATGCACCTTTTTAAGCTATTTAATTTGATTTCTTGAATTTGTAATTTTATTTTTAATATACATTTATTTATTAGTAATTACAAACAATTCCCAATTTGCTTTTGGCCATGACTGCTGGACTTCCTAGTTAAATGTGTCAATTGCTTAATTTAACTGGTATTTGGCCAGAACCTTTTCTTATCCTTAACCTGACGTGATACTCATGAGTGTGCACAACTGCTTTGCTGTTTGAAGGCAGAGAAGCCCTTTCAGCTGATAAAAATCAACAAAAGCAGTCTTTGATAACAACAATAATTAAATAGCAGAAGCCGGTTAGGGACCAGCATTTATTTATTTATTTATTTTTCAAATTAAATGTAAAAGCCTTCTCCGGTTAAGAGATTGGCAAGTTTTTACAAATAGCATCAGTGAGCCTTTTATAAAGGAACACAACCACATTAGAATGGAGTCATTAGGCAAGACGTTTATTTTGAAGCCAATTAACCTTTTGTCAGAAAAATGTCTGTGCTGTAATGGCTTCGGCGGTGGAGGTCAGCCTCTAACAGGGCACGTGTGACAGGCCTCGCGCCGGCTGACACAGGCGGGGACGGAGAGGAGAGCCAGGACTGGGATCGGCCTGCTTTTGTATTCTACTCTGCATTTCCAGAGCAGACAATCTTGACCTATCCATTTAGGTAATTAAAGCTTCCATTTGGAAGTGTCCTGCAGGAAGGTGAAATCTGGGGGAGATAAATGGCTGTTGCTCTCCGTATCCAGCCGCCAGTTCCATCATTTGACGGACTGCCTGAAACGGGCCGGGCTGCCAGGTTCTCATAAAAATAGAGATGAATTGGGCAGCAGACAATTCTCTAAGGCAAAGCAACTCTGTCATTTTCTTCTTTGCAGGCTATAATTTAATTGTTAGTCAAGGTGGATGGCTGACACACGGGGGCTTTCTCAAAGAGCTTACCCACCATCTTCCATTTGCTGAGAAATGACTCCAGTTTATTTACTTAGCAGCCATGTGTGTTTGGCACTGGGAGATGTCACTTTAGCAAGTGCAGCTGGCTGGCACAGCTGTGCCCTGACTTACCTTCCAGGCGATTTTGTTTCCTTTCGAATCATGCTCAAGGGCAACTGGGAAGTCACCTCTCTCATAGAATTTCCGAAATGCCGTGGGCTTGGTTGGTCTTTCTTTAAATGCCCCTGCAACTGGAGGGCCTCTCACCTTAATGGAAAAATAAACAAACAAACAAACAAATAAATAAATAACAAGAAAAACCATAGAGATGAGGTTTTAAGACATACTAAAAAAAAAAAAATCCACAATAAAAAGACTTTCTGTTTTTAAAGATTTCAGTTTGTATAAATATGGAAGATAAAACCACATTATCTAATAAGGGACAACAGAAATCTGTTAATACAAACACCTGAGGAAGAAAATTCTTTTATAATCACTATTTAAAGTCTACTTTATTTCAAGCTACTTTGAAAAGCATTCCTAGAAAATGTCACTTAAAATATCACTTTATAAGGAAGAGAAGACTGACATTATGTTTAAGAAAAACATTTTAATAGTGGTGTCTTAAGTTTAGAATGTTAAAACTTTTACAATTTCAAATACTTGTAAATTTTAATATTTGTTCTGATATACTTTACGGAATACTGAAGTAATTTAAAACATTTCTTTTCGATATTTCTATATATATGTAAAATGGCAGAACATGTTCTCTTATGAATATTAATAAAACTACTAAAATATGGTATAAAAGTACTAATAAATTGGAGAATGAGGAAGAAGAAAATGTGGCTTACTGTGCGTGTGTATAGCATACATTTGGTAACATAAATTCATAAGAAAGTAGCATTAGAACAGATGAGAAATGAGAAACAATGAGACACTTCCATCTCCAAAACTCAAATTGTCATTACAGAAAAAAGTCTTCCTATAGAGTTATTCACACTGAACACATCTTTTAAATCTGCATTATTTACATTGGACCTAATTCATTACATTACAAAATTGAAAGTAGTAGGTAAACTATTTAAAAAATGAGTGTACTGTTCGGTTCCTTACATATAGTCTAAACACGATTGTTTTTCCCGCTTATTAAATAAGATAAATACTAGTAGTTTCATATATTAAATTAATAAATTCATGATTATTTTGATGATACTATGGACAAAATAGCAAATAACTTAATATTTTAAGGTTTTTTGTTAAGTTGTAATATTTTTGTTAAATACTTCAATTTTAATGAATATTAACATATATCTAAATAGTGCACAATATATAAAATAAATATACTATATATTTTAGATATGAAAAATACATTGTATCTAATACATACATAAAAGGATTATATTTGAAATTAAGTGTAGTGTTAAGAAAGACCTTATTACAATGATTAAATGCTGACGTGGAGTGGAAGAGTGAGGTGACACATTTATTAGCATTTAGAATTTACTCACTACATAGCACATTACTCCCAGTATATGATTATATGAGTAATTGAGGCAGCATTGGGTATTACCAGTAGGAAGGAAGATTTCCTTTTACATATTGAAGATTAGGAATTTGTTCTCATACTAGAATTAATAGCTACCACTTTCAAATTCATTCAATTGTTAAATAACCACAGGTAGATGACAATATTTTGTTCAGCTCTTTGGGCTGGAGGCTATATAAAAAGAAGACCTATAACTACATTACTATCATGGAAATTGTAGAGTAATGGTTCCTGGACTTTTGAAATTCATGGAGAAGTAAATCTTGAATCACATTTTTGGAAATTGGTAAGTGATTGACAAATTTTTATGTTGCCAAAAAGTTATATTTTTTTAGAAAAAATAGATAGTAACATCTACCAACAGGCATCATTTTAACACCCTTAAAAAAGTGATATAATATAATCTAAAGAAAGAAAACTTGACCAAGTTAAATGAGCATAAATGTGTGAAGAAATATTTATAGTAAATCATGTGCAATAGTGCAAGTGTATAGTGCATATATGTATGTGCATGTATGTGTGTATTGTTACCGTAGAATTCTGACTACTGGTCAGCAAAAGCCTCATTTATTTTATTTTGTTTTCTTATTTACCTTTTGTAAGACAATCATAGATCCATATGCAATTGTAAGAAATAACACACAAAGAACACACATAACCTGTATTTGCTTTCCCTAATGGAGTATCTTACAAACTATGGTACTATATCACAACTAGGTTATTGACATTGATACAGACAAGACACAGAACATTTCTGTCACCACACAGCTCCCTCCTTTTGCCCTTATAACAGCCACACTCTTTCTTCCCCTCAATCTTTGTCTCCTAGAAACAAAAATGCCCTCTTCATTTCTATAATTTTGTTATTTCAAGAATCATACAGCATGTAACCCTTTCGAATCAGCTTTTTTCACTCAAATAAATCTCTGTAGAATCATAACAAGTTGTTGTGTGTACAGATTGAGTATCCCTAATGCAAAAATTCAAGATCTGCAACGCTCCAAAACCTGAAACGTTTTGAGTACTGACAGTGTTCACAGGAAATGCTTCTGAGAGCATTTTGGATTTCAGACTTTCAAATTAGAGATGCTGAATTGGTAAGTATATGTAATGCAAATATTCCAATATCTGAAAAAATAAAAAATCTGAAATACTTTGAATCACAAGCATTTCAGATAAGGAGTACTCAACCTGTATCAATAGTTCATTGCTGTTTAATGCTGAATAGTATTCTGCGGCATGGATATATCAGTTTGTGTAACCATCCACCTCTGAGGTCATATGCATTGTTTCCTGGTTTTGGTTATTAGGAACAAAGTTGCAAAATTTTTTGTAGATGCTCTTTATTGAGTACCTCTCCCCGTCTATTCCCATTTTTCTGAGAGTGTTTCATTATAATTAAATGTTCAATTTTTTCAGTGTTTTTCTGCATCAATCAATATGCTCCTGTCATTTTTCTTCTGTCACTTTTTGATATGGAGTTTTCTATTACAAACGTAATAGCCTTTAAAGTTATAGAGCTACTCAAATAATCTGCTTCCGATTGGATGACTTGCAGTAAGATGTATTTTCTGAGTAATTGGCCGATTTTATTTAAGTTGTCAAACTTAAGTGAAGAATTGCTTGTAGTTTTTCTGTATTATCCTTCTGATGTCTAGAGGGTATGTTATGATATCCATTATCCATTTCTGATATTTCGTAATTTGTGTTTTCTCTTTTTTCTTTGTCAGTCTTACTAGAAGTTGGCCAATTTTATTGATTTCTTCTGCACTTCCAAAACTACATTTTAACTGGATGTAGGATTTAAGTTCATGATTTTTTCCTTTAGCACTTGGAAAATGCTGTACCATTTCCCTCTAGCCTTCATGGCTTCAGATGATAAATCCACTTTCATTCATACTGCTTTATTGCTTTCCCTTATTTAAAAGGTGTCATTTTTTTTTAGAATGCTAAGATTTTTCTCTGCCTTTAATTTTCAGAAGTTTAATTACAATGTGCCTTTGCATGCATTTCTTTGCTTTTTCCCTTGTTTAAAGTTTGCTCAACTTTGTGAACCCGTAAGTTCATGTCTCTTGCCAAATTTAGGAATTTTTCAGGCATTATTTCTTTGAGTACTTTTTTGGCCTGGCTTCTTTCTCCTCTCCTTGTAGACTCCAATGACATTAATGTTAGATCTTTTGTTATGGTACCACAGATCACTGAAACTTTTTATTTTTTTAGCCTATTTTCTCTGTCGCTCAGATTGGGAAACTTCTGCTTTATCTTCAAGTTTGTGAATTCTTCCTTCTGCCTCCGGCATTCTGCTGTTGAACCCAAATATGCTTTTATTTAATTTGAGTTGTATTTTTAGTTATAAAATTTCTATTTAGTTCTTCTTTATATCATCCACTTCTGTTATGAGACTTTCCACTCTCATTGTCTCAAATGTGTCACAAGTATTCATAAAGCATTTTTGTCAGTGACTACTTTAAAACTCTTTCCTAGACATTTCTAACACTTCCATTGTCTCAGTGTTGGCACCTGTTTATTATATTTTTACATTCACTCTGAGATCTTCCTGATTCTTGGTGTCATTACTGATTTTCTTGTGAAACCTGGACATTTGATATATTACATTATGAGACTCTGGATCTTGAAGCTTCTGTTTTAGCTCGCTTATTCTGACATTTTTCTGGCAGAGGTTGGGGGAGGGGGTTTCCTTATTGCTGCCAAGTTGGGGTAGAAGTCTCTTGACTCTACTTGGCTTCTACTGACGCCAGAGGAGGGAATGCTTCATTAATACTGGGTGGAAATGGAGATTCCAGAACCCACTAGGCGTCCATGGATACCCTCCTGGTTGGGAGGGGCAGGAGTGACTCATTACCGCTCCCTGATTGTCCACACTGACATCATGAATGGTGTGGCCTCATTACCCTAGGAAGTGGTGAAATTCTTGACTCCCTAGGCACTCCTCTGACTTAACTCCAATGGAAAGAAGACAATTCTTTCATCACAAAGTGGGGTACAAGTCCAAGACCCTAGTGAGGTCTCCACTGGCATTGCAAATGTTGGGGCCTCTTTACTATTCTAGTGAAGATGAACATCCCAATGCCTCTTCTTAAAAACCTAAGTACAACCATTATTTAGATATTCTGTTTGCATATCATCTGCTAATCATCCTTTTTGAGTTGATGTTTATAAGCCTCCTACTTATCCAGTTGGTCTAAAATTTGTTGAGATCATCCATTTTTGCCCCTTTTGTCTTTGCATTTCTTTTAAAATCAATTTCTCTTTTCTTTTTGTCTCTTATACTGAATATACCCCAATCTTTTTCATTCTCAACTCAAAATTCTTAATGTTCAAACTTTTGAAGGAATTGATACATTTCTAAGAAAGCTCAGAAGGTTTTTTATAAATTGATACAGATAACTTATACTTCTTCCTTTCAATAAATTTTCATGTACCCCTACAGAAATAATTCCATGCCTGTACTTCCATGGAAATCCTTTATTTAGAAGAAGACTTTACAAAATAATCCATGGTAACATGAAATCACTTGACAGTGAGAAATTCTCTTCTTGAGTCTCTCTTATCCTCTGTCTTTATATTTCAGCTATTTACTTATTTTTAAACACCATACTTTTGGGATCTGCTATAGATCCATTCTAAATTAACTCTTGGCATCTCAAAAGCCAGAACTTGTAAAAGCAGCTAGAATGTGCTCAGTTAACTTCTTCAG